GCCTGTTCCTCTCCACATGGAGGGGCCTTTCAGTGGGAAACATCACGTAAGACAAGTATTATGCAATTCGATTTTTTTTTCCTGTAGTTTTCACTGTAGTTTTCATGGTTTCATTAATTCTTGGTACAGAGTGTTTGAAGTGGCTCTCAGGSCCTGGTGGTTTGGCTGCTGGGCCTTTTTTTATGTCCTGGGGGAAATCTTCCAGTGCTGTTTTCTTTTCCAGGTATTTTACATTGCAGTGGGGTTTAAAGAGGCCCTGGATTTATTATTGTAGGGTTGTTGGTGGTTGCTGGGCAGCTCTTGTTGTTTTACCTTCAAAAACAGTGCCATTGGATGCAGAGATTCAGTGTGGGATTTCAGTGCCCCTGGGATCCCCTCAGCCCCCATTGCTGAGGAGGGTAGGACGGGAGCCTGGAGAGGCTCCTTGGAATCTGAGAGGCTGCCAGGGAACTCCTGCCCCATCCCTGCTCTGTGGAAAACCCCACTGGAGCCCATCCTGAGCCGGGAATGCCGGAGAGATGGGATGGAACGGGGAGAAAATGAGAGTTTGCAGTTTCTTTAATAAAAAAAAAAGCTCTTTTCTCTGAGGGGGAGGGGCAGCTGCGCATTTGTGTCCGGTTGGAAAGACAGGGAGGAGAAGGACCCTTTTCCATGAGTGGGATCTCAGCTGTCCYCTCAGGAAGGAACATTTCAGGCATTTTTGGGCAAGTCCCACATGTCTGAAACAGGGATCCCCCTCTTACAGGTGACTGGCTGAATTGGGAGCAGCTGCATCTTTGTCTGAATGCTCAATAGGATATTTTTAATCAATTCCTGAGCAAAGCCCGCGTGGCTGTTCCACCTGGCTGTCCCCTGCATGTCCCCATGAGGCAGAGAGCGGCCAGGTGGGGTGGTGGCACTGGGACAGAGGGCACACTTAACCCTTGGGGTGCCACCTTCCTTGTCCTGGCATGGCCCAGCTCCTCCCCAGCCCAGAGAGCTGAAGGTGCCAACCCCACCCCAGGTCTGGCTCACCACAGAGCTGCTCATGGTGAGAGCAAGAGTTTGGTGATGCATTTCAGTCCATATTTCAACATCTCCGTGGGCTTTTCTGTGATCATCCCTGGGTTTGGGAGGGGAAACCTCCTCCAGYTGCAGTGTCATAGCTGCCACTGCACCTCAGCTTTTGTGAGTCATGGTCCAAACTTCAAATGATGCCYTGGAAGAAGGATCCCTGCTGGAATTTCAGAGAATTTCAGAGGTTAAGGAAACAGRAGTGTTTGAACAACATGGTGGGATTCATCCTTCCAGCCGCTGGGGTTGGAGAACGCGGGGTGGAAGCACCCTTGGCTTCCTCTGGAACTGATAAAATTGTTGCATTTGTTTTTAGTCTAAGGCAGAAGGCATCTAGACTGGAACTGTATTTTTTTCCCCCTTTGGGAACATGAATCCTGGCAGGAAGGAGCAAAAATTTCATTAAGGAAGAAAGCAGGACTCCCGAGATTCGCAATGAGGAAGGAGGGAGTGTTCCTGCCGTGCACAAAAGGCAGCCTGAATTTGAGGAATCATGAAAGTTTGCAAATTTGCTATCTGCCTTGGAGTTTCAAAGCCTTTAGGATTCACGACTCAGGCTTACRCAGACAGGCCTTGTTGTGATTAGATCTTTCCTGCTTTTTTTTTTATAAAAGGAAAATCCAATTTTTTCTCGTGATCACCTGACTCCAGGAGGTAGAGCTTTAAAAAAATGCTCTGGTGCCAAACTGGCAGCAATGTCATAAAACTTGGTAACAAGCTGTTTCAGTTGGGTTTGGGAAGGCTGCAAAATCCCTTTCCATAGAAGAAGAAAAGCAGGGTGGGAAGTTAATTTAAACTTGAGCCAGCAGGGTTTAATACCCCCATTGGTTCCGCTGGATTTTCCACATGGGTTTGGTCYGGAATGCCAATGAAGCTGGCACGAGGACACAGCCCTTGGGGGACTCCSTGTGCCATTCTGCCCTGCCCAGGGCCCATTTCCCCTTCTGCCGGTGCCCCCAGGTTTTCCCAGCAGAGCTCCACTGGAACTGATGTCCCTGATGTCAGTAGTGGCCCCTGAGGTCACTTGGGCCATTCCTCAGCAGCAGCACTTTGGTTGTTTGGTTGGTTTTGTTTTGTTTTGTTGGGGTTTTTTGGTTGTTGTTGTTGTTGTTGTTGTTGTTGTTGTTGTTGTTGTTGTTTGGGGTTTTTTTATGTTTGTTTTCTTGGGTTTTTGAAATTTTTTTTTAGATTCATATTTCGGCATAAACCACTGCTCATGTCCATAGGGTGTTCCTCTGCCTCAGTGAACCCAAAACCTCTTCCAGAGCAGAGTGGGGTCACAGAAACACTTCTCAAACCTTTTCAAGACCCAGCCTTTGGGTTGTTTTTTTTTTCTGAACAAGAGACTTTGTTGTGCCATCTATTCCACTATGCCAGGAGAGGTTTTCTGTGCTGAATCCCCCTGGGTTTGGGTGGGATTGGATCCCCAGCTCCCTGCTTTCCCTCACAGTGACCCAGGGCTCAGCCAGCCCTCCCAGTGCTGATGGAAATCCTACAAAACCCCTTCCAAATCCCCACTATGGGGAGGCAGCATGAGAGTCCAGCTTTGCAGCAGAGCCACGATGGAGATCYCAATGTGAGGGAAGGAGCTGGGGCAGGCACACAGAGCTGCTGCCAGGCTGGCTGCACCTSCCAGGGTTTCCCTGTGCCCAGACTGGCATAGCTGGACTTGGACTGGGGCACTGTCCAGCCCTGCTTGGCCATGCTGAGCCTGGGGTGTGTGGGGATGTCAGAGATGGGAGCTGAGCCACACTCAGAGAATCCTGGAATGTCCTGAGCTGGAAGGACCCACAGGACCATCCAGTCCCACCCTGGCCCTGCCCAGACCCCCCAACAATCCCACCCTGTCCATCCCTGGCAGTGCTGTCCCAATGCTCCTGGAGCTCTGGCAGCCTCGGGGCTGTGCCCATTCCCTGGGGAGCCTGGGCAGTGCCAGCACCCTCTGGGGACACAAGAACCTTTCCCTGAGATCCATCCCACCTCTTGGCCCAGCTCCAGCCATTCCCTGGGTCCTGTCCCTGTCCCTTGGGGGATGTCCCTGCTCYGTCACCGCAGACCTTCCCCTGGCTCCAGGCTGGGCTGTCCAGGGACAAGGAATGAGGCCACTGTGCCTGGGGGCATCTTCATGCAGGRACAGGAGCACTGAGGGGTCTCAGGGCTGTTTCACCTCCCTGGGAAGCTTTGGGCACATCCCCCTGGAGTCCTGCTGGGCAGAAGGAGGATCTCATGTGCCATTTCAGGGCAGGGGACAGGCAGGGGACACAGCAGGCAGGACAGCAGTTCCATCCCGGCTCTGCCCCTGGCTCACTCTTGGTGTCCTGCCCAGGGGCAGCTCAGGGCAGGGCTGCTKAAATCCCTGCCCTGCTGAGGAGGGATCCTGGCATTTACCTGGGCAGTGCTGCCCCACAGCCCCTGCCCAGCCCCCTGCAGCTCCCAGACACTGGGCACTCTTGGGAACAGGCCAAAAAGTTTGGCTTTTTATTGCCTCAAGGTTTTTGATCCCCAAATTTGCAGCATCATGAACATCCTGCTAAAGAAGATCTGGTTTGGGGATTTTTTTTTTTGGCCTTTACAACTCACTGTGGGAGGGCAGAACGTGGGAGCTGTGAGAAGTTGTTTGGCAGAACAGCTGCTGGTTGGGAGAGCAGGGAAGGAGCAGGGGCAGGTTTGGAGGGTTTTATTTCACTAATTTACAGGAACATTGCCTTTACAATCTGTCTAAAGCCCAATTTCAACGGAATAATGGGAAAGTAGGAAAAACTATTAGCCCTGAAAGGAAGCCTGACGATCAGATGAAGAGTGCTGCTTGGGTTCCTTGTGCTCTGCATGTGGACAGCTCCACTCCTGACAGGAAAATGTGCTTTTGGGTTTGAAAGTCCCCAGGATTTGGGCTTCAAATGCTGAGAAGTTGCTTCATTTCCATGAAAGCTGAGGTGGTCTGTGAAAGACAGAGGGGTATTTCTATCAGCTTTAAGCTTTATTTAATGTTTGTTTACAAGCTATCCTGAGCCCAGTTKGAGTCAATCAGAGTTATTTTGAGCAGGTTTTATGGGAAAAGGTAACAGAAGGAGCCCCTTGATCCGTATGGTGTGTGCAGAGCATGGGCTGGTTCAGACACACAGGAGARGGTTTAAATTTGCCGTTTCAGTCTCGGTTTATTTGATATGGGGAAGAAACTTCAGTGTGCTGGAAACACAGGGATCATTTTCATTGTTTTTTTGTGATTTGTCCCAATGTTCACTGCCCAGTGCACCCACCCCAAGGTGCCCTCAGCCCTCCAGGTTGTAGGAGATTTGCTCAGGGGTGTCCTGTCAGTGTGCTTTGGGCATCCCATGGTTTGGGGGATCCCCGGGTGCTGAGATGTGGGATTTGCCTGGGGCAGAAAGGCTGTCCCTATGGATAGGTGAGGAAAGCTGCTGAGAAATGGGATCAGGGCTCCTCCCCAGCCCCTGGCCCGGGAGGTGACAGAGCCCCAGAAACACAGCCCAGTGCTGATATGCACTGCAGATCTCTGAACCAGACACATCCTGACCTCCAGTCAGTCCCCTGGGGAGGGCTTATCCCTGCTCCAGAGGATCTTCCTGCTCAGACAGACCCCAGCTGGAGGTGGCAGGAGCTGGGACAGSAGTGTTTGACACCTGTAGCTGCTGTTTTCCTCAGTTTTGCTTGTGTCCACCTCAGTCTGGAGCTCTCAACAGCACCCACTCACCCTGTCATGGGATTATTTCATGTTTGGGGTCCCAGCAGCCAGCACTKGCAATCCCCTCAGAGATGGGAGTGWGTGGGGAACCCTTTGGGGMTGCTTGCATTAGTGTGGAGGTGGGCAGGGTGGGCTGGGTGCTGTGTGTCCACTCTGCTGGGGTCAGGAGGGGGATCCCAGAGCAGGGCAGCCCCGAGCCATTGTCCCTGTGAGGAGTCATCCCTGTGCTGTGCCCTGTGTCCCACAGCTCTGGGTGAACCAGGAGGATGGYGTGGAGGAGGGAACCAGCGAGGTGCAGAACGGCCACTTGGACCCCAGCGCCGACTGCCTGTGCCTGGGCAGGACCGTGCAGAACCGCGACCAGATGAGAGCCAACGTCATCAATGAGATCATGAGCACCGAGCGCCACTACATCAAACACCTCAAGGACATCTGCG